TATATATATATATATATATATATATATATATATATATATATATATATATATATATATATATATATATATATATATATATATATATATATATATATACATAAACATATGGGCAGGATTAAAAAGTTTTTTCTTTTTAAAAGGAATGACCTTTATAAGCTAAATTAGAAATTCAAAAAAAAAAAACGTTCAGAAAGGGGCAATAATACTTAACAAATTAATTTTAGGTAAAGATATTGCATGTGGAATAACAACTTTTTTTTTATAGCCATGAAAACTTAGAATTCTACTAACAATGTCATTTCTCAAAATTAAAGAGATATTTATAGTTAGTTTGTTAGATATTTTTACCTCTTTCTAAACCTTTTTAATTTTTTTTAAATTTCCAATTTATTTTATAAAAACAAATCCTTTTGAAAAACACGAATTTTTCTCAAATCGAGCAGAGTTGATTCAAAAATTGAATCAAGAATCAAATCAGCAATTTAAGGAATATGAGTTAAAATATTTCTTTATACTATATATTTTAAAAGAAATAAAAACTCTTTTTTGGTGCTTTATGTAGTTTTAAACAATTGGTAACAATTTTTAACAATTGGTAACAATTTTTAACAATTGGTAACAATTTTTAACAATTGGTAACAATTTTTAACAATTGGTAACAATTTTTAACAATTGGTAACAATTTTTAACAATTGGTAACAATTTTTAATAATTGGTAACATTTTTTATCAACTGGTAACAATTCTTAACTTATGGTAACAATTTTTAACGATTGGTAACAATAAAGAAAGTATTTTTTGAAAGTACAAAAGTACCCAATTATTCAAAAATACTTCAACAAAAAGAAAATAAGTAAATATTCAATAACTTGAATCTTTTTTTTTTTGAAACTCAAATCACTTTTCCGATTCAACTCAAATTTTTGAAGATTCACATGGCCTTAATGTGAGTATGTATGCATGTATATATATATATATATATATATATATATATATATATATATATATATATATATATATATATATATATATATATATATATATATATATATATATATATATATATATATATATATATATATATATATATATATATATATATATATATATATATATATATATATATATATATATATATATAAACACACGCACACATAGAAACATTCTTATAAATTTAATGACAATAAAGTAAAGAAAATTAAGGAAGACAATTTTAAATACTTACATTTATTTATTATTATATTTATTAACTTACTTTCAATAACTTAACAAAATTTAAGAATTCGGAAAGACTTTTTTTGAAGATCACCTTGCCCTGTCCAATTCAATTTTTTTTACTACTTCCTTTTTTGCTGCTACTCCCTTCACCTTAAAAAAAATTGTTACTACTAGTAAAACAATTTGGTTCATTTTTTTTTATTAACATTAGTTATAATTCATAAATTGCTTTGCCAAAGGCTACAAATTAGTAGTCAAAATACTTTAATCACAGAGGTAATTATGATCACTTTTTCCAACCTTGTTTCTTTTTTTTTTTTTTTTAATTATTCACCTCCCCAAGGCCCGAGGGGTTCCACTAAAGTCGAGGAGGCTACTCATTTTTTTTTTTTTTTTTTTTTTTTTTTTTTTTTGTTTTGTTTTATTTTTTGTTGTAAATTGTGGTACAACCCTCTCTCAACTTTTTAACTCCGAAACAGGAACCTTGACAAGCAAGGCCGCTGCGCGGAGAACTTAAGTTGAGCGCGGTACTTCCAGGGACATGGTGGGAATGGAACTCCAAACCTCTCGCTTACAAAGCGAGAGCTCTTACCACTACTCCACTACCACATATTTAATATAATGTTTTGCCTTAAATTATTTTTACTGAACATTGTAATATCTTAAGGTATTATTTTGTATTTCATGTATACTTTTTAATGTATACTTTAAGGTGTTTATAATATACCATAAAAATTTCTATAAACTTTATTTTAATATTAGACTTATGTGATAAAAGTACAGAAGTAACCTGATGAAAATTATGATAGTGTTTTCACTTTTATTTAGTAGTCAAAATACCTTAATTACAGAGGTAGTTATGATCACTTTTTCCAATCTTGTGTTTTTTTTTATTATTATTCACAAGAGTACAGAAGTAACCTGATGAAAAATATGTATTTTTTTTAAATTACGATATTGGTTTTACTTTTGTTTAATACAGAGACAGGTGTCTACAGATAAAAATTTTTTAGTTCTTGATGTTCGATAAAATCTTGTAAGTTACTATCATAATAGTCATCAGGTTACTTCTGTATTCTTAACACATAAGTCTAATGTTAAAATATAGTTTATAGAAATTTTTATGGTATATTATAAACACCTTAAAGTATACATATAAAAGTATACATGAAATACAAAATAATACCTTAAGATATTACGATGTTCAGTAAAAATAATTTAAGGCTAAACATTAACAGAGTTATTAAGTGTATACTTTAGTCAACAAATAATAATTAAAACTTAGTAAAGTACTTGTTTTACTCAAAGCCAAATTAAAAATAAAGGTTGAATAAATATATAGAATAAAGGAAAATAAAGGTGGGGGATGATGACAATGATGATGAGATCATATAAAATATAGCATAAAAAATACAATATATAATGAATTTTATTTAAATACATAAAAAACACAAATTTTAATAAAATTTTAGGATGCATTAACATTTAAGCAGCTCTGGTCATAGATCAGCAAGTTAAATTATTGAAATTTTGTGTGATATTATGCTGAGAAGATCAAAATGCTAAATCACCCTCTAGTTCATCTATTTCAATATTCTTATCACTTTTATTTGAATCGTTATCAGAAAAAGCTTCAAATTCACTAATTTTATTATCAATTTGATAAGAAATATAAAGGTTAAATATTGAGAGCAGTGGTATTTAAAGGTTCATTATCTGAAGTGTTCAACCCATGTTTTTGGCAATTGCTTTGAAAGACTGTTTTGGGCAAGGCGTCAATAGGCTGAGGAAAATAAAACCCAGTTTTACCTATGTAATCATAGTTATAGGCTCCATCAATAACCATTTCCCCTTGATTGATTTCGGACAAATAATTAAATAAAAGTTAAAATAAAATAATTTTAACTTCTCGAATTTTTTTTCTTTCAGTCCAATAGTTTAAAATCAAGATTACTAAATATACAGGATGTGATATAATGAAAATTATATACTTGAATGAAAGCATAAATATATTTTTCTCTCCGTAAAATTTGCATCTACATTAAAAACATTTTGCGCCATGCATTTTTGTACCTTTGGCGAGCCATTAATGATACGCTTATGGTCCGGCAATAATTAGCCAGTCCTGGTTCGTCAGCTAAGGCCCTTAACTGGATCACATGTAATTGCAAATTGTCTAAAGACTGCTGCGAAATTCTTGATAACTTGCAAGATCTTGAATCTTCAAATGCTGATGATGTTAAAATGTCACTTATTCACATTGCTGGTTATGTTACACGAAATGATAAAGAACGAACTGATTATGAGCTTTTAGATTAAACAACGTTCTATTATCAGAAATATGGTCAGTTTTCTAAATTTTTGAATCGTGGTTGATTAAAAATTCCAACTGATAATTTGTGCCAATGAACATTTTTTTGTTTTGTAGTTTTTCAAATAGTTAAAGATCATGTATGCAGAAAATCTTTAAGTAATATTTTTATGATTATATCAGACTATTATTTATTGGATATGGAAGAACATCATTGTGTAATATTGAGCAACAATAAAAAAAATAAATTTATGTACCACTGTCACTCCAAGATCTGGCAAAAAACTAAAATTATTAAAAATCTTATAAAAGTCTACTTAGTTGTCTACTATTTATAATATATTTTGTAAACTTTTTTATAAAAGATTTATAAAAGTTTCATATAGTATTTTTTTTTTTCAGATTTTGTTAACAGTTTTAATCAAAATTTATTTAATATTTTTTGTTTGGTTTAATAACATTTCTACTCAATATAAGAAAATATCAATTTCGTATTTAGCCAAAACTAAAAGTGAAATAATATAATTATGTAAATGTGTAAAATTTGAAATTAGATAAAATTTCTTTGCCTTTTATTTACAATGTTTATTACTTAATATTATTTTTTTTTTTTTCATCAAAAAAAAATATTAGGCTATACCGAGAATTAAAATTACTTTTTAGTTTTAAAATTACGAAGTTATTATCTTTTTCGCCGTAAAAAAGTAGGCCTCCACAAAAAAATTCGGTTGCGCGATGAATAGGCCTGCAGTAGAGAACGCAATGTTTAAAACGCATATTGATTTCCTGCCCCAACCAAACCCTGACCCAAATCATGTACATTTAATTCCCATATACATTTAATTTCGCCATTTTGTCAGTAGATGTATGTACATTTAATTTTGCCGATCCCTATTTGTCATTTAATGTATGTACTTTTAGTTGCGCCGATTCCTATTTGTCAGTCGATACATGTACATTTGTAATTAGTTTTAGAAAAATAGAAAACGACAATAAAACCCGTGTCGCGTAGTTAAAAAATTAATTTCTTAAATTTTGAAAACAGTGCTAAAATGTTTTTAAAGAGATGGTGGAATATTAGCGTTTTTAATGTGAATTTTTATACTTTAACATTAAATTAGAGTACTTTTCTCAAGTTTTCAGACCTATGTTTTTCTTTGACTTAGAATCAGTATCATGTGTTCTATAATAATCAATCATAAAAACGGGGGGGGGGGGGTAAAAAAGTCAATTAGTGCCCACTCAATGTGCCTATAGCTATATAAATCAGTGGATGTATATACGCTGCGATGCGCCTATCTCTCTATATTCTAATTTGCCTATCCTCTAAATATCCTAGTTTTTAAACGTCAAAGATGTTCAATGCGTATAGGGGCTTGAAAAGAGAGACTACCGTAACTTGGGTGATAAAAGGAATAAATGAATAAATTTAACATGCGGCTTTTTCAAAGTAAATAACAAAATCTTTATCCAAAGACCAAAAATTCAATATTGAATTGTTTGTAATCATGTAAATAAAAATCATTAGGTAGTAATATACTTATAAAAATTCTTGGGTTTAAGTTGATTAACTTATATTTTCATTATGGATGCTCACCTATTTCTAATTTTAGTACCTTTTTGTTTTGTATTTGCTGACTAAGTCTGCAAGAACAAAATAAAGTCAAAACAATAATTTTACAAAAGTCTGATACTTTTGTAAAATTCCTTGTTAATGCATCAAAGTGTACGTTAAACCTATTTTATTAGCAAACATATGACAACTGTATATAAAAATTTTTTTTTTTTTAAATGATCATCCTTCTATCTTTTTAAAAGATCTGTCTGTTTAAATGATCTGTCTGTTTTAATGATCATCATATCTGTCAAATGAAGTTTAATGTTGCGTGTACAATAAACAACTTTACCTAATAACGTAAGTTTGACTAAGAGCTATTATCTTTGATTTCTTACTGATTTTTGTAAACATAACCCAATTTCTCTGATCTAGCAGACATTCTGTTGAATGACCCATCATAATGATGGGTTATTCCACAGAATGTCTCTAAATTAAATCTAGGAAAACAAGCGGATCAGGATAAAATCATGGAAATCCACCTTTAAATATTGGCAGACACCCTGTTCCATATGAAATCATCCACACACAAAATTTTTGTCACTTTTACATTTCAGATTAGTTTATTTTTGCAATCTTTAATATCAAGTTCACTTGCATCTTCTACAATTTCTATCTACCGAATTCATTATAAAACCATGCAGTATAGTCTAATTTTTTAATGTTAAATGAAATCTCTTCCTTATTTTTGTTTTTTGGAATAATTTAATGTATTCACATTTTTTCTCTATAACTTATTGTATTTGAGCTAATAGGAATGTCTATGCTGTGATAAGATAAATTGAAAGATAAGTTTGAAATTTTTAAAGTTAAATTGCACAGCCATCAGAAAAATACTTCCCACGTGATACAAAAAAACCATGTGTCATAATTATATTCTTCTGAAAGGTAATAAAAACATTTTTGTTTGAGAAATATTTTTTCCTAAAAATAAATTACTTTTGTAAAAAGTAAACACTGAATTTTTGCAACAGTAATAATCAAAAGTTGAAAAGTAAAAAATTTATTTTTATTACATAATTACAACATATTGTTATTAGTTTTTTTAATTGTTGACTAAGTTTCGTGTCTTGTTCCATTAAGTATTTTATGTCTTGTTTTATTAAATTTTTATGCTTTGTTTCATCAAATATTTTCTGTAATAAAGAATATACATGTATGTATCTTTATTACATATGATACATTTGGAAATATTGTTGATGCTATGATGTATACTAAATTCAAATATTCTTAGAAACATTTACTATACAAAAGCAAACATTTAGGAAGAGTCAGAAATTGCGATCCTGGAGATTATCCCATAGATATTCAGCAAGCTTTGGAAAGATCTATAGAGTTTTATGAGTAAATATATATTTTTTAACAACTTAGTTTATTGGATCCTTTTGTAAATAGTCTAACGTGTTTATTATTTGGCTAACTTTATAATTTGGTCACATGACTTTGATTCTTTTTCAAATAAACTCATTTGTCATTGATATAACATTCTTTAAATAAACTCGTTTGTCATTGATATAACATTTTTCAAATAAACTTAGTTGTCATTGATATAACATTCTTTCATAAACTTTTACTAAATGAAGATAAAGACAATTAACAACATTTTGTTTAAGTAAATAAAACATAACTATAAACAAATTGGTTTCATTGTAAGAACCACAGAGTGTTTTTTCAAGATTTTTATCTTTTAGTTTGATACAATCTCGTGCATAGAGTAATGGAATTATTTGCTTTAACATGTTGGAATACTATGGTAAACATGTTAGTATCTCATGCTCACTACAGTCACTATCTAGTAGAGCACAGTTTAGTTTTTTAAGGAGATTTTAAAGAAGGTTCAGAGAACAATTTAGGTTAAAATTGCAGAACATGATCCAGAAAGTCCGATAAATTCTTGGAATATCAAAATTTAATTATCGGAGTTTTTATTTTAGGTGTCTTGTTAATAAAACAGTTAACATAAACTTTCACTGTTGATAATGTCTATGATGAGCATGGCTTGTAATAATAATTATCACATGCAATCATTACATCATCTCATTTGTTTTGCAATACATTATGAAATCATTACATCGTCTCATTTGTTTTGCATCATAATATGCAATCATTACATCATCTCATTTGTTTTGCAACACATAACTGAAAAATGCTTAAGTTTCAATTACCAAAGTAATATATTTAAAAAATTCACTTTCAACCTTGACATTTTCAAGGTTGGAATTTTCAAAACATAAGAGAACAAATTCACTAGGTATATTTTAACCTTTGCAATGGATATATAGATCGATAAATGAGAAGCAACTCAGGATTCTGTGAAATTCTAGAAGTTACTGATAATAAAGAAAAGTGTTGAGAAGAACAACTTTAATACTGCAGTATGATTAACAAAATTGAATAATAACATTAATAGTGACTTCATCGGACAAAAATAAAAAATGAAGTCAATTGGTATTTCAAGATTCCAAATTTTTCTTTTTAAACTTTGAAAACAGTATGATCCAGATAATATGTGTGGTCCAAATAATGAAGTCAAACAGTATAATGTAAACATTATCAAAAAAATGTATATAAAACAGAGAGTAATTTATTATTCTTTTTTCAAAATCTCAAAATTTTATTTTGAAACTTTGAAAACAGAATGATCTGTTTTCAAAGATAACAATCACTAAATTCAACTCTTGTATGAATTCATCATCAAATTAGATATTTCTCACATTATATCATCAATATAATAAATCAATTTCGTCATCATCATCATCATCATCATCATCATCATCATCATCATCATCATCATCATCATCATCATCATCATCATCATCATCATCATCATCATCTTCATCATCATAATCATCATCATCATGTTATCATCATCATCATCATCATCATCATCATCATCATCATCATCATCATCATCATCATCATCATCATCATGTTATCGTCATCATCATCGTCATCATCATCGCCATCATCATCATTATTATATTTTCAATACATTTTATGAGGCCAGAAATAATATTTTAGTGTTTGGTTTTCATAACTATGTGATATTATTTTTTCTTTATTTTCACGATTTTTATTGCTGTCTGTTATTTTCATTGCATGTATGTTTTTTTAATGATCATTGTTAGTTTTAAAACAAGTAGTTTATATTCTAGATGCTGCTAATGGCTAGAGAGTTTAATGACAAGGCTGCATTTAGTAACCATGGTAATGCTCATGTTTTTCATTAAGAATTTGAAATAGCTGTACAATATTACTAGTGAGAAAATTTCAAACATAAATTTTTTTCAGAGGTCAGTATAAAATTGTTTTTTATATTTTAATTGTTTTTTACTTGTATTTGTCTTATAATATATACTTTATTTGATCATCTTTATCAAAAGAAAGGCTGTAAACCCTTTTCATTTGCAAACTTTATCATTTTTTTTAGCAAAATTCTTGAAAAGTTAGATTATTACTTTTTACATTGAAAAAATATTATTTATAAATAGTTATTTTGTCTTTGTCAAAACGAAAAAGAAGCTTTACAGTTTGCAAATTATTAAAAAAAAATACTTCAAAATACACAGTTTGCGAATTATTAAAAAATTATTAAAAATGTAGGTGTAGATCAATACCAAAAAAAAAAAAACTATAGACAATTACCATATAAAAGAAGACCTTAAGTTTTTTTCAAGTGCTTTTGTAGTTTAAAAGTATAACAAAAAGATTTAAGTTATTGCAAAAAAGTGAAATTAAAAAGGACTAAAATCAATTAAAAGAAGAGAATGTATACATATACAAATTTAACTTCTGGGTATAAATTATATAACTCAAGCAAACACTCTCAATGAACTTATATTAGGTGGTTTTGCTGCAAGTTCAATGTACTGCTAAATATGTAGTGGTCTTTTATTTGTCTTCGCATATAACCTTTATATGCAGAACCTTTTCAGTTATTTATGCACAATGAAACAAAGTATTTTTTCCTGGATATATTCTTGTAATTAAATTCATCATTTAGCTCATCAAAATAGCTCCAACTTTCAGGCTATTCTTTTCCCGATTTAATTAATTAATTTTTTGTTTTTTTTTATTTTTTAGCTTCCAGCTTACGAGGTTTTTTTTTAATTCTGTTTTCTGCTTTTAGGCTATTTTTTTAACTTCCATCTTTTATGGTTTTTTTTCCATCTTCCAACTTAAAGGCATTTTTTCTTATTTTTTTGTGCGCTGACATTAATTTTTAAATGTTGAACTTCAAACAGTGGACTTATGAATAGGAAAAAGGTAAAAAAATCGAAACCGGAGTTAAAGTCCTGAAAAGTGCATGCTGGGAAAAAAAGTCCTTAAAGCTGGAGGCTAGAATAAATAAACAATCCTGAGAGCTGGAAGCTTGAAAGGAAAGAAAAAAATACCTGAAAGCTTTCAGCTTTCAGGGTTTTTTTTATCTACCTTTCAAAAAATTTTTTTCCAGCTTCATTTTTCAGCGTTGTTTGTTTTTTTTTTCTAGTCTTCAGCTCTCAGGCTTTTTTTTTTTTTTTCCCAGCAGGTTTAGGATTTTTTTTCCCCTGTTTTATTCTAGCTTTTAGCTTTCAAGAATGTGTTTTTTTTTCAAGCTTCCAGCTCTCCTGATTATTTATTTATTCTAGCCTCCAGGTTTAAGGATTTTTTTCCCAGCATGCACCTTTTAGGACTTTTAATTCCAGCTTCTATTTTTTTCCCTTTTTCCCTTTCATCAGTCCACCGTTTGAAGTTCAACATTTAAAAATTAATGCCAGCGCACAAAAAAGCACTGGCAGAATGGTCAATTTTAACTTAGCCTACACAATTTTTTTTCTGCTATTTAAATTATAATAAAATAGAGAAAAAGTGTTTGAATTAATACTAGATAAAATAATTTTATAAAAATCTTGTAAAAAAAAAGCCTTATTTCATAAAAATTAAACAAATGAACAAAAAAGTTTTTTAACAAGTGCATTTTTATGCGTTCGCCAAAGTTTTTGCGAGCGTGTGATCGAGCAAAAAAGGCTTCAGCGCAAAAGCGCTGGCAAAACGGAGAAGGCTGTTTCATGTCTCAGGTATTTTTATTTTTCAAGCCTCTATATTTTAGGCTTTATTTTGTTTTTTCCAACTTTCATTTTAAAGTCTTTTTTATTTTATTTTTCCACCTTCCAAATTTAAACCTTTTTTTTTCAGCCTTCAGTTTTGTAGCTTTTATTTTTCTTATTTTTCAAATTTCTATTTTTTAGGCTATATATATTTTTTTCTAGCGTCTCGCTTTCAAATTTTTTTATTTTCAAGCCTTCAGCTTTAAGACTCTTATAGGCTTTCATGGTTTAGTTGTTTTTTAACCCTCTTTGAGGTTTCAGGTTTTTTTTTAACCCTCTTTGAGGTTTTCTTTTTCCAGCTTCCAACTTTTATTTTTTTTTTTAGCTTCCAGTTTTATGGCTTATATTATTATTCGTGCTTTTCGTGTTTTTATTTCGTATATTTATATTTCGTGCTTTTCGTTTTTTTTTTTTAAGCCTCTAGTATTCACGTTTTTTTTTTTTTTTTCCAGTTTCCTATCTTAAGTTTTTTTTTTTTTGTTTGTTTTTGAGTTTGAAACTTTCAGGCCTTTTTTTCTAGCCATTAGCTCCATGGCTTGTTTTTTTTATTTCAGCTTCCAGCATGTGGACTATTTTTACCAACTCTTACCTTTTAGGTTTTTTTTTGTTTTCAGATTCCAGCACTCAGGCTTTTTTCAGCTCTTAACTTTCAGGCTTTTGTTGTTTTTTTCAGCTTCCATTTTTTTATGTTGTTTTTTTACTGCTTTCAGCTCTCAGGTTTTTTTTTTTAAGTTTTCAAATCTCAGGCTTTTTTTTTTTCCTATTTTTTATGCTAAAATACTAAAATCCAGAAACATAATATTCTGCAGATTTAGCAATTCACACCATATTTATAAAAACAAGCTTTATATATATATATATATATATATATATATATATATATATATATATATATATATATATATATATATATATATATACAGGCTTCGGCAGGAATAAAAACCGTACGGGCTATGAAAAGCCCGTCTTAAATAGACTTGGCGGGCTATGAGGGCCGCCCGTCTAGATGGTCTTGCATGGGCTTTTTTAAACTTAAAAAAAAATTCTAAAGTTTGATTTTTTTTTTTAACTTGTTGATTTCTCTTCTTCTTTTTGAATGAAAATGTCATTGAATATTAAACATTTTGTGAATTGCACTAAAATAATGTTAGAAAGCGATTAACTGTTCAAAATGCTTAATTACTTAAGTAATTTAAACACTGCAGTAAATGAGTAGGATAATACTTAAAACTAAGATTTCAATAATTGTTTTTCAAAGTTTTCACTTGCACAGATCTAATTTCGTTTCACGTGGGTTAGTTGTTTTATGGTTGCTTTTGTTTAGATTTCTTACTCGAAGGAACTTTATTCAGTTTTTTATGTTTTTTTTTTTTTAATCTTTATCCAGATAATATCTGGCAGATATAGTCAAACGAATGAACGTGAAAACGACGGGAAAAATCCTCGAAACAACCATGGCGTTTCATCACGTTTCCTTATTCAAGCATCCTAACGTGTTTTTTTAACGAAGTTTTTTTGAGTATATTTATATATTATTGTTTTATTCAAGTATTCGAATAAATTATACAGGTTTTTATCGTGCTTTTTTAGTTCATTCGTTTCACTTATTCTTTGTGAATAAAAATATTACATAATATTTTCAAAATCTAATTTTTTTAATTATTCAGCAAATAGTTTGAAATCTTTTTTTTTTTAACCTTGAATCAATGAGCTCGATAGTTTTAGAATTGTTTGGTATTAGCTTGATAATATGATACGTAACTATGTTATTTTTCAAATTCAATTATTTATATACTCTTACATTCTATTGGGCGTGCAAATTAAAAACTTAAACTGTTATTTATATTTTTATAACTTTGCTTTACCTATGCCTATCCTTATCGGAAATAGTTATTCTGATACGTGAATAAAAAATTTGAAATCTAATTTCTTTTAATAAAATAAGTTTTTATTTAGAAGTACTAATAATTTCTTAAGATACCGGGGCTTCCGTTACTTTATATACAATATAAGCATGTATATAAGCGTATGTATGTTGCTAGCTTTAACGTTCGTAGTGCCCTCTATAAATGCTAATGCTTTTGATTTTGCCAGACCTTTTAACTCGCGAAGCAATTCTTTTTTATATTTTATACAAACCATACACCATATCTTCACAACAAAAATTGTTCCATTCTCCACCTCAGTTTCTTTTCCACAGACTCCATCTTTACCCCAACTCAAAAATGTTGCTAATGTAACTCTTCTACCAGATAATGCCATTACTATCTTTACTGAAAAACTTGAATAACTTGAAAAACTTGAATGACTGGATAACTTGAATAACTACATAACTATAAAGCAACACTATTTATATTATCTACAAAAATTGATTAGATGTTTGTTGATTTTTAATGAGATATTTCATTTTCAATAACGAGTTATATAATTGCATATTAAATAAACTGCCGTCTCTTTAAGAAAAAACGTGAATTTAACGCGGAATTTAACGCGGAAATATCACTTTAAATGTCTTTAAAGTAAGACAAACTAGTTTATCGGAAAAAAGCGAAATACATGGATAATTAGTTTATTATCGTTATTATTATAAACATTGAAAAACCAAAACAACATGATACTTCTTGTGCATCACATTTGTATATTTCCCTATTTAATATAATAGTTATTAAATTTTGAACATAATATGGTAACTGTTTGGTATTATATCAAACAGTTAATCAAAAGATTAACTGTTTGATATAATACCAGTTAATCAAATTTAATCAAAAGATTAAGTTATATTATTTTCTACATCATGTTATACAATAATGATTAAATTGTTTAATTTTTATATTTAAATATAAACAATTATAAGTTGGAGTTTGCTATCCATATTAAAATTATGTCATGAGAATATTATTTATTTTTTGAATATATCAAAATATTCATCTTTTTTTTTACACAAAACTTATGTTTCAGACGGGCTTTATTTCGCCCGTCTAAACTGATTTAGACGGGTGCGGAGACGGACACGGGCTATAGCCCGTCATTCCTGCCGATGCCTGTATATATATATTTATATATATATATATATTATATATATATGTATATTTATATATATATATATACATATATACTTTATGATATAAGATATTATACATGTTATTTTTATATTGTTTATTTTAAATATGTATTAAAAAAGAAAAAAAAACAGATTTTTTTTGTCG